TGCCGGCCTGGAGCCGTGCCGGGTGCAGGGTCTGCTGGCTGGGTGCTGGCAGGCTTGCACCTGGCACGGGCACCATAGCCATCCCGTGCCCCTTTAAGGGGTCCGGGGCCGGGAGGGGGGCATAGAGTTTTCCTGGTGTTGGCCAGAGTGGCCACCAGGGAAAGCTGGGGAGGGCTAGCCTCCCACTAGTTCGAATTAAGGGGCTACACACCCCTTAATTCGAACTAGTAAGTTCGAACTAGGTTTAGTCCTCGTAGAATGAGGTTTACCTAGGTCGAACTAAGCGCTCCGCTAGTTCGAATTAAGTTCCAACTAGCGGAGCGCTGGTGTAGCGCCTATCAAAGTTAATTCGAACTAACATTCGTTAGTTCGAATTAACTTTGTAGTGTAGACATACCGTCAATGAGCAATGACAGTCCAGGAATTTAACTACTAAAATGCACATCAACAGAAGACCATTATATTGATTACTTTTTTGTTTTGGCTCCAATCTGTGGGCCACATGTTAAGCCCCATGTAAACCCAAACAGCACCATGGGCCACAGATAAACAGGCCGGGGGCTGCGTGTTGAGTAGCCCTAATCTAAATTATCCCTTACAAGTGTCTGTCTAACCTGCTCTTAAATATCTCCAGTGATGGAGATTCTACAACCTCCCTAGGCAATTATTCTAGTGTTTCACCACCCTGACAGGTAGAAGTTTTTCCTAATGTCCAACCTAAACCTCCCTTGCTGCAGTTTAAGCCCATTCCTTGTCCTATCATCAGAGGTCAAGGAGAACAATTTTTCTCTCTCCTCCTTATAACACCTTTTTAGATATTTAAACATCTATCATATCCCCCCTCAGTCTTCTGTTTTCTAAACTAAACAAGCCCAATTCTTTCATCCTTCCCTCATAGGTCAAGTTTTCTAGACCTTGAATCATTTTTATTGCTCTTCTCTGGATTTTCTTCAATTTCTCCACATCTTTCTTGAAATGTGGTACCGAAAACTGGACACAATACTCCAATTGAGGACTAATCAGTGCAGAGTAGAGTGGAAGAATGACTTTTTGTGTCTCGCTCACAACAGCCCTGTTAAATGCACCCCAGAAATATTTGCTTTTTTTGTAACAGTGTCACACTATTGACTCATATTTAGCTTGTGGTCCACTGTGACCCCTAGATCCCTTTCTACAGTACTCCTTCCTTGACAGTTGTTTCCCATTCTGTATCTGTGAAATGGATTGATCCTTCCTAAGTGGAGCACTTTGCATTTGTCCTTATTAAACTTCATCTTATTTACTTCAGACCATTTCTCCAGTTTGTTCACTCTATGCCAATGTCTAAACCATTGATGAAGCTATTGAACAGAGCCGGTCCCAAAACTGAACCCTGTGGAACCCCACTTGTTATGCCCTTGTAGCACGACTGTGGAACATTAATAACTGCTCTCTCAGAATGGTTATCCAGCTAGTTATCCAACTAGACTGAGCTTGTTTTGTGTGTTCGCCTTTCTAATCCTGCCCCTACATCCTTGCATTATTTGCCTATATTGATGCTTTGTAATTTGACCCCCAACTCAGAACATTTGACACAACCCATCATTTGAACATCGCCTTACTCGTCTTGGCTCCCTTCCTCCATCCCACTGTCATCAGGATCACTGGCTCTTAGACCAAGCCATGATTGCACAAGGCAAGTGCAGCAGGGACTGCATTCAACTTGCAAGAGCACTGGAAGGCCAGAGTCAAGTGCAGAATGGGGGCCCATACCTACCCAAGGCCCTGCACACTTACCGCTTCCTGCAGCCTTGTCCATAGAAGCCAGCTGGGCAGGGCTCCCGGCAGTACTTGCCCCGATAGCCCGGCTCACAGGTGCAGGTACCATCCACCTGGTTACACTTCCCCTTGTAGCACTGACAGTAGCGGTCACAGCGCGGGCCAAACATTCGCTCCCGGGAACTGCTCACACGGCGAATTGTTGCAGGAGCACTGGTTGTTGCAACCCCGGCCCCACCAGCCAGGCTGGCAGATGCACATACCTGTCTGCTGGTCACACTGGGAGTTGAGACTGCAGTAGCAAGAGCTGGAGCACTGGGGACCCCACCAATTGGGCTCACAGGTGCACTTGCCCATCTTCTGGTCACATTTGCCATGCTTGCAGAGACAGGCGTTCTCACATTTGGGCCCCCAGCGATTGGGGTTGCATGTGCACTGGCCTGTGACATCCTCGCACTGGCCATTGGGGTGGCAGCTGCACATTTCCTTGCAGTCGGGACCCCAGAACTGGCGGGGACATTCTGCAAAACAAGCAACATGCCAACACATGCTGAGCAGCCACCAAACCCAAGATGAGAGAGCAGGGGTTCCTGGATCAGTCACCAGGCTCCTTCTGCCACTATCTTCCCAGCTCAAATACAAGCTGCAACTCCTTAGAGGACTGCACACACACATGCACACTCACACCCCACCGAAGTTTCAAGGAGCCCCCTCCAGCACACTCATATGCTGACTGATAGAGTCCTGGTTCAATGCCAAGAGTGGTGCAGGGTGTTTGAATATCAGTCAGTAACAGCAACTGTGCATTGTTGGCAGACGCAATTCCCCAGCACATGGCGCACTGGCTTTGCATCTGCACATTGCTCTTCCCCAGCAAGTTAAGTGACCCTAAACATGGGATTCTAAGAAGAGGGGGCCAGGAAGACAAGCAGCTGCAGCCTTGCCAGCACCTCTAGCTGCGTACGTTTGGAAACTATGTAAACTCCCAACGAAAGAGAAAGCCAAACAATTTTCAGCAGAAAACCCTAAAAGCACCCTGTAAACCATAGGCCTGGGCAGGCCCCAGGAAAAAGGGCTGAGGCCCAGCCCTGGTGCAGATTCCAAAAGCAACAATTCCTGGAGCCATCTGGCTGACCTCAGGGGCTTCCAGGCGAAGCCTGCGCTCTCACTGCCCTTCTCCCACTGCAAAGGGCCTTTTCCCCTTGGTAGACGTTTGTTACTATTTTTAGGAGAACATGTTTGTTGTGCTGGATGATTTCTATCCTCCTTACTGCTTAGCTGCTTCATCTTGCACATGTAGCTTCATCATAAAAGCAATCTCTGGTCCATCAATTGAGCACACCTTCTCCTATGCCTGAGAGGGAGTCTGATCTCCAGCTACCTGGGGGTGTGGAGGAGATGGCCTGCCTAGATAAGGAGGTAGCAGAGAGAGAGATCTGGTGTAGGCATGTGAAGGACCAGTGGCAAATGCTTATCAGATAGTCAACAGGATAGGCAGCTAGTTGCTTCCCCCCCCTTGCGGCCTCAGCCCTTTTCCTAAATGAGGGAGGAAGAAGTGGAGGTACTTCAAAGCAGCAGGATAGCTTGAAGCCTGGGGCCAGACCCAGGGCATCATGCAGCACTGCCGCTTTAAGAAGCCACATGCAGCTCAAGGCCAACTGGGGTGTCCCCAGGCTGCATGTGGCATTTCAAAGTGGCAGCGCCACATGGAGCCTAGGATCAGCTGAGGATTCCCCCGCTAAGGGAGCCTGGCATCAGATTCCTCATGGTATTTTTAAGTGTCAGTGCCACACAGAGTCCAGCGTCAGTGGGGGAGTCCCCAGCTGATCCTGGGCCCCACATGGTGCTTTTGCCTTTGAAGTGTAGCAACACTTGCTGCACTTCATAGGCGGAGGCGCCCTACTGACTAATCGAATAGTTAATGCAAAATGCATCAACTATTCAATCAGTCAATTACCCGATACTCAACATCCTTAGTCTGGTGTGTTCGCTATTCCTTGTAACAAAAGAGGTGCAATTTTGTTACTTTCATAACTGATGTGGTAAGCCCAGGGCTATGCACTGCCACGCCCTAGAACAGATTAAGAACTACAGCCACCGCCAGGAGCAAGTCAGCATGGGATGGTTCTGAGACACATGGACTTTTCTCCTGTTTCTGGGTTCTGATTCACACCTTCTCCTCTCTTTCAGAAAGCAATAAATGCACCCTGTAATGACCAGCCCCTCTCAGCTCTTTAAAAATGTGGCTATGAGGTGCCCTGTTCATTGTGTCTCCCAGGTTAGACTGAGTTTGTTCAGTGGACGTGATTTGTCTATGCAAGTGCTGCAAGTCCCATGGGATGCAAGTGTCATGTGTGAAGGGGTATTCTTGTCAGCCCTCCTGGCTCTGCAGGCTGAACTGTGCTAGCACAATGTAAGTACATCAACGTTAGAATACATAGCCAGCTGCCAGACTCCAGCTGCCTCTTCTCTGGCCTGGGCTAGGCTGGCTCCATAGGGATAAATGGAGTAAGGAGGAATCAAAGCCTATTTAACATCACTGGCATGACTGAATCCAATGGAAGCTGATTTGAGGAATAGGACAGGCCCATTAGTATTTCTTTCCTGGCCACACTAAATGAACAAAAACGTTTTGGCCCCAACCTTTCCCCAAGGTTTGCCAGACATCTCTCTCTTACTGCAGCATGTCAGGCTTTGCTCAGTCCTGAAGCAGGTAAATAAAATGAAGACCCCCCCCTCCCAAGAGGCTGTGGGGGTCAACAATGTCACGTCATGTCTTCCTCTCATGTTTTATCTGGGGTACGCACAAGAAAAAAGAGAAGCTTGTTATTCCGCAGCCAGCTACAACATCTCAGTTTGCTTTCCCAGAAATCCCCTTTGTGGCTTGAAACTTTCCATTCCTGGTGCCAGCCTGAAGGAGATGGGGGGGAGGGAATTTGGGGGAAGGCCTCAGGCACTTCTGCCTCCGAGGAATATTTTGCTTCTGCTCTGTAGTTCACTTAGAGAATGCTGTCATTTCCAAACAGAGTTTTCATTCTGTATTAAGTGCCTCTCTGCAACTGAGATCAGGCCCAGGAAGAGAGGTGGGGATGGGGATTGGAAGGGAGGGGAGGGGAACAGTCATTGGAGGAGGTGAGCCTGCTATGCAAAGTGTCCAATAGACTGGTTTTGGAAAAAAACACAGTTCTGAAGATTTGCAAAAACTATTGTGAGCCTGCACCTTGGAAAGCAGCACTGCTGGAATGGGAGCAAGGATTCTGAAGGGTAAAGTTTTATCTAATAGCTTCTTCTAGCCCTGCCACCGACAGATCCAGGGATGGGTTTGTAGGGATGATCACTTATGGGCACAGAATTTGCCCACCTGACTCCGTGGAGGCTCCAGCGTAATGCTTGTAACTCAGAGAAGCATGTAACTAAGCAGCTGGAGCAGTGTGACCATCACCCACACACCAGCATGGTCCTTGCAGAACCCACCCCAGGCTCCCAGAGTCTACAGAGACCTCTCTGCGTAAGCCAGATAGGAAATGTCATCTTCTAGCCAAGGAGAAAGCTGATCAATTTGCAGCGGAGCCCCCCTAAAAGCATCCTGTAGCACCTCAGCCTGGAACCCCAGCAAAGGGGTCAGTGAGTATCTACTCCAAGTAAACTCCCTACTGCACTTTCGGAATCATAGCACAACATGCAAAAGGCCCAGCACCCCATTAAACACTCACATCTCTGGTGTGGTATGCAGCATGGTAAGTTAACCCTGTGCTCCCTGGATTCTTTTGCCAGAAACACTGCCAGAGCAGAGCTTTTGCACTCTGACTTTACTGCTTATGAACTAACCCAGGGTTAACGACCCAGAGCTAGGCAGGACTGTGTCACTGCTAGGGGGTGATGCCAGGACAGAGGAAAGAGCTGCTGCGCCACAACTCCAACAGATGCCTGATACTCACTGGTGTCACAGTTGGCCCCAAAGTATCCATGGCGACAGCGGCACTCACTGGGTCTCACGCACACCTCATTCTCCTTGCAGGTGAAATTCCCCTCACACACAGCTGCGGAGAGAAAGGAAGAGACATTGTCCAGGGGCAGGGTAAGGTAAGGTAAGGCAAGGCCAGAGCTTAGCACTGCCTGCTAGCGAAGGGAAGGGAGGAAATCCTCCAGCATTTTGGGAAAACAGGCACTAGGCAGCACCATTGCTCTTCTTCCCAACAAGAGAGCTCCCTCAGGAAGTTACTGACATCCATGCAAATGCCTGGTGGAGTGGAGAGGGGAGGGGAGAGATCCTGAATGCCAGGATACAGCAGCAGAACAGCAATTAGTGCATCTTGGACTGCTGCCTTCTGGCCATCTAATCAGGTACTTTGGATAGAAGATGAAGGACACCGTGGAGGGAGAAGGCAAAAGTCCAGTCTGGTATGGTTCCAGTCAAACAGAAGGGGGCTGTTCCCCCTTAGCCTCTCCTTGCCACAGAGTCTGACAATGGCTAAACCCCACAGCAAGGGCTTGGCTGCCTGCCAGAAGGGGGTGCCATGGCTGTCTGCCATCTGGCAGGAGGCCTGGGGGATGGGGGTGCGGGGAAGGATATCAAGTTGTGAGGGAGGCCCTGCACTGGCTCTGGGTAAGCGGCATTGCTGCAAGAGCATAAGGGAGGAAGTCTCCTGCAAAACCTGGGATGGAACATGGCAGCTACAGGCAGAAAGGGCCAGTCCTGTTACACACTTAGGCTGTGTCTAGACTGCATCCCTTTTCCATAAAAGGGATTGCAATTGCGATGTGTCTAATTTGCATCCCTTTTACGGAAAAGGGATGCAGTCTAGACACAGCCTTGAGAGGAAGGATGCCTGATTCCCATTTCACAGACATGAACCTCCAGGAGGCCTCACCTCTCATGGAGCTCCCATCACCGTGGCAACAGCACACCACATGGACTCTGCTGGAGCATGGCCCAGGGGGCAGGGTGTGGGTCAGGCACCTCTCCTTTGCCACTTGGCCCCAGCAAAAACTGGAAGGGTCAGCAAAAGACTCTTCAGGACCAAACTGGAACCATATCCCTTGCTGGTGGCTGCTCCGTGCCTACGCTGACTCTGATCCTTCTGCTCTGGGGAGAACCTCCTCCTCCTCTTCCTCCTCCATCCTGACAGCCAGCAGCAACGTGTTGGCTGCCCTTCCACAAGGAGGTAGTGGCCCTGCTCGGGGCTAGGCTGAGGCTGAGGACAGCTCTGGCTGGAAGCAGCACAGGCAACCTGTTCAGTGCTCTCCCAACCCTGCTTGATGCTGTGCTAGTTCCTGTTCTCCCACAGCGGCATGGCTGCAGCTCTCCCTCCCTTTCCCTGCCACAGCTCACCCATAGGGGTAGAACCTCACTGGTGCAGGAGCAGTTGAGCCACCCTCGCAGAACAGTGCAGCATGACACCAGGGAGCTCTCTAGTCTGTGTATGCCTCACTAGCCACCCCCACCCTTCTCCCGCACGGGCCGTGGTAACCTGCAGGCTGTGCATTGGGTTGAGTGCAGATGCAATGCAGGCGTTGCAGCCTGAACAGAGGGTAACAGCTCTTTAATGGGCTAGGCTGCCATGCACACATCAGCTCCTTCCACTGGCTCCCAGTCCACAGCCTGGGTCCCAATCTGTAAAGCTAGCAAGAGACCAGCTTCCAGCTACCTCAGCAACAGCATCTGCACCCACAATCAATAGCTATAAATAGTACAGTTCACAAGTCCCAGGCAAAGCCCAAGAGAGCTGTAGGGAGGCTGGGGGTGGAAATCATTCTGGAGGTCAGGTTGTTCTAGAACTGGGAAGCTCCAAAATGCTATGGTGATGGATACTATTGAAAGCCCTCAAAGATACAGCTGCATTATATACACCACACTGAAGGAGGTAGTGTGAGAACAGGCCTGGAGCTGAGGAAACCTGCATTGTCTTCCTGACTGACACTGAGCTGGTATGAGACTTCCAGATGGAGACAGTAAGAGGTTAATTAATCCCCCAATGCATGAAGCATTTAAAAAGCATCAAAAAAGGCACTAAATACATGCAAAGTATTATTATAATTATTATTAGTGTTAAATGCAAACTTTGAGGTATCGGCTTTTATGCAATCATTACCTCTGCATATGCAGGAGATGCAAAGGAGCTCACTCAGTTCTCCTGCAGGAACTGTAACCTCTGAATTCCCTGGAGTTGTATGACACATGCTCAGCCTGAACGGTGTGTTCGAATGAGGCTGTGCACAGAACACACATACGCAGGAAGCCTTTCCTCCAGCACTAACACGCAGCCGCTGAGCAGCGAGGAGCCATACCACACAACAGGAAGTCAGGGATACTGGGGCCAGCTGGAGCTGCGGGAAGTTATACAGGAATCCTAAAATAGCCTCCAAAACGTTTCACAGTCGCACTCTGGGAATGCAGGCTCCAAGAACACTCAATCCCCAACACACTCCTGCAGAACTGAACTCGTCAAAGCCCTCTATTATGAGATGCTAAAAGCCAAGCGTCAACCCTCAGGGGGAGTTTATCCTGGAGCTCAGAACCACTGTTCCGATGACTATGCCCTGGAGCAGTCCTGGCCACAGCTCTCTTTGCAGTAATGAAGAGCATGCTTTGGATTGCCCACTGTTATCCTGCCGTATCTAAAATGTGCCTTATGTTAACGATCTTGCCTTCCACAGTGGTCTTCGTAAGACCCCCAAACTCCAATCACTTGCTAATTCCACTAGCTGCAGACATGGTCAGGCCAAACATCAAGCATTAGAGCTCTAGCAACATTCATTGAAGCTCTTCACCTGCCAGCCACACAGCCTTTCCTTCTCTCCGCCTCCTGACTCTATGCCCCCTCCTTCACTTCTCTTTTCCTTCCCCACCTCAGAGACGAGGCCTCTCTGGTTAGCTACGTCATCTTTCTGGGGGGCTGTGAAGTACACTCTGAAACCCTTTGATTTACTCCCATGACATTCTAAACATGGTGGATCCAGAGTCGGGGGAGGTGCCCGGGGCCAGAAAGGACTGTCTCCAAAGTACCCCTGACTACTTGCATTCAGAGTAAATGGTCTGCCCATTCTTCCTCCAAGACCCAAATGAAGAACCAAGTGTGTGACAAGGACCCTAAATGAGGAACACTTCAAAATGATTCATGCAGGAAAAACTGCTGTAGACTTCTTCCCCTGAGTGTACGTGGCTCTCTTGGCTCAGCTTCACAAGGCTTTGCTATGGATGTAAACAGCTGTCAGTAGTAACAGCAAAGAGACCTCCAAATCAGGGCAGAAGGGCAGGGACTAGGGAAAGCCAGACACTGCTTTTGGAACTGATGTCTGAACTTTGCTGTCTCACGGAGGCAGCTGGCATTGTAATGGGAAGGGACGTCAGCTGTGAATAGCTGTCTGAGGGGAACCCAGCACAGGACAGACTGACCTCCAGCCTGCCTGGTTGCAATGCCGCTTGGCCAACAGGAGTCAGGGTATATGCCTGCCGCCCTGGGTGCTCTCACTGCACTGCACTGCAGAAATCTGCTGTTTTCTGGTCCCAGTCTTGCCCCAGGGTTAGCGCTGACCACGGAAGGAAAGGCAGGGACCTCCCAAAGGAACCACCTGGACATGGAGTTCTGAGCCAGGCAGGTGCTGGGAGAGCTGCACTCAGATACAGTAGTGCTGGGAACGGCCTTCAGGGATGGGAGGAGAGGTGGCTCTGAGGAAGGAGAAAGAAGCAGTGTCTAAAGAAGGTTTGCTGGTGCTTACCTATCAAACACTCAACGCCTTGTTGCCTCCATCCTGGGCAGCACACAGACCCAGAGAAGCTGCACAAAGAAAAACACACAAGTCTGTTTACAATTCTCATGTGCCTCGGTCCCTCTGCCAAAGGCTTCCTCTTCTTCTGGAAAGAACTGGGTTCCACAGCTCTGAGCCACTCCACCCCAACGGCTTGGAATGAGCCAGAAAGTCCAGGGCTCCACTTTAAAACCCAGTAGGCAGGCAGACAAATGTCTCAAGTGTCACTGGCTGCGAGTCCTGGCCATCACAGGGGCTGGAGCATTCCCTCCTGGGCTGTTCTGTTCCCCTCCCCTCCCCCACCTTGGAGAGTATTTTGGGGCAATTCTCCTCCTCCGGGGCTGTCCAATGCAGGGTGCTGATGGCTACAATACAAACCAAACAAAAGAACACAGCCGCAGGGAGTCTCAGAGTCTGAGTCAACAGACTTTGGCTTGCCTTATGAGCTAAAAAGAGCAGCCTGTGCACATTTCTGCTTGAGTTGGGGTCTAGGCTCCAAGACCATTCCCTTCCCCGGGTTTCAGATCACAGGCTCTAGCCCAAGCAAGAACACACACATTGCTAATTTTAGCCCTAGAGTGCAAGCCTCGCAAGCCCAGGTCTACAAGGGACTGCAAGAGTCTTCAAACACCCTGTCAAGATGCAGGATTTGTTGGGTCAAAAACATCCAAGACAGCCAGCTGTCCAGGCTCCTCTTTAAAATCTCCAGGGAAGGAGCTTCCAACGTTGTCCCTTATGTCCCTTGACCTGGGCTCTGTGCTACTTCCTTGCAGTGTAGATGTAGCCTATAAAGCTGGTCAGAAGATTAGCAAGAGATGATGCTTTCAATAAGCGACCATCCCTCACACCTATGCTGCAGTCTCATCTGACCCAGCTGGTGCAATGGAATGGAACACACCACCATGTATCTGCAGGAGATAGGATCCTGCTGATGAGTGAGCTGGCAAAGGGCCCATCCAGACAAGTCTGAAGTGCTGCAAGGTTGGGGGCTCACAGCGACAGTGGGGCCACATTCTTCATTGGAAATCTTTATCACCCCACATTCCCATTTCAAAATGGATTTACAATACCGGTTTTGTTTCTTCAAAAATGTCCATTATGAAAAATAGTCAATGGAACCTTCAGAAGAAATGCCATCTGGTGCCTTTCCCAACAAAACCCAGAGTGAGTTCTCATTTTCCTGCCTGGCCCATGCCGATTGGCTAACTCAATCACATCCTTTCTAAACCAAAGCATCTAGATACATTTATTTCTACCAGAATTTCACAAAACCAAAATATTGGTGCTTTGTGGAACTAGGGTTGCCAAATAGTTTCACAAAAAATACCGAACATAGTGGGGGAAAAAATTGGTTGACGGGGGGAAAAGAAGTTGTTGAGGAAAAAAAAATGCCCCAAAAAAAAAAAAAGTCACAACCCCTTTCAATTCCCACACACTCTTCCTGCCCCCACCAGACATGGCACGGGAAGAATGTCCCAAATGGCCTTCCGTTGGAGAAAAACAGAAAATACTGGACATTTTACATGTCCGGTATTTTCTGTGGGTTTTTTTACCAGACACATGCCGCAAATACTGGGCTATCCAGGTGTCCAATACCAGCACAGGGAGCCAAAATGTCTTCACCTCACCCAGATCCATACAATGCTCCTGTTCCTTGACCAGCTCTGGTCTGCCAGCGGGAAGGGGAAAGGGTCCCTCCTTTCTGTCTGTGAAGCGAGAGCTCTGGCTGCCATGGAGAGAGCCTCTCGGGTGGGTCTACATTTCAATAACACACCTGCAGCTGTCTCACACCAGTTGACTCAGGCTCAAAGGCTTGGGATGTGGAGCTAGAAATGTGCAGCATAGATCCTGAGGCTTAGGCTGCAGCCCAGTCTCTGAGACCCCCCCTCCCCCCGCCCTCAACCTTACAGGATCTCAGGGTACGTCTACACTACAGCGCTAGTTCGAACTAACTTAGTTCGAATTAGTTAATTCGAACTAAGCTAATTCGAACTAACGCGTCTAGAACTAAAAACTAGTTCGAACTAGCGTTTTGCTAATTCGAACTAGCAAGTCCACATTGAGTGGACTCTGAACAGGGCTTAAGGATGGCCGGAAGCAGTGCCGGCAGGGCATAAAAGGAGGACTTAGAGCATGGAGATGCTGTCTCAGGCTAGCCGAGGGCTGCGCTTAAAGGGTCCCGACCCCCACCCCGGACACACAGTTCTAAGGGGTGCCCCGCTTGCAAAGAAGTTCTGGCTTGGAGTGCCCTGAGTGCCCACACTGGGCACATCACACCACTCGGCCATCAGCCCGGCTGCACTTGCCGCAGGCTGCCATCTGGGGGCTGCAGGAGAGCTTCCACCCCCAGAAGCCTGCAGAGCCAGCCCAGTCCTCCCCATCGGGGGCTCGTACCCCATCCCTCCCTCCCCTCCTTCCACTTACCCTTCCCTAGCCCCTCTTCTTGATGTACAAAATAAAGGACAATTGTGTTCAAAAATGGAATCTGTCTTTATTGAACAAAACTTGGGGAGACTGGGAAAAGGAGGTGGGAGAGGGGAAGAGAGAGGCTGGGAGAGGGGAGGGCAACTAACATGATCAGGGGTTGGGAACAGGTCCCAGATGAAGAGAGGCTACAGAGACTGGGACTGTTCAGCTTAGAAAAGAGGAGACGGAGGGGGGACAGGATAGAGGTCTCTAAAAGCAGGGGTTGGGTGGAGAGGGTGCATTCAGAAAAGTTCTTCCTGAGATCCCATAAAGAAGGACTAGAGGACACCAAAGGAAAGGAATGGGTAGCAGGCTTCAAACTAGTAAGAGAAAGTTGTTCTTCTTCACAAAGCAAATAGTTAACCTGCGGAACTCCTTGCTGCAGGAGGCTGTGAAGGCTACAACTAGAAAAGAGTTTAAAGGGAAGTGAGATCAAGTCATGGACGTTGGGTCCATGGAGTCCTATTAGCCAGAGGGTAGGAGTGGTGTCCCTGCCCAAAGTTTGTGGAAGGCTGGAGAGGGATGGCACGAGACAAATGGCTTGGTCATTGTCTTCGGTCCATCCCCTCCAGGGTCCCTAGGGTTGGCCGCTGTCGGCAGACAGGCTACTGGGCTAGATGGACCTTTGGTCTGACCCAGGACGGCCATTGTAAGCTCAGGGCTCAGTGTCGGGGGTCTCAGTGGACCCCCTTGATTTTCATGCACACCTGCGCCTGGGTGGCCAGGCTGGCAGCTCTCCTGCCCTAAAGGGCCACTTTCCTGTGCTTAGTGCGGAGATCGTGGACAAGGTCCACGATGTCTGCACTAGCCCAGGCGGGTGCCCGGCATCGGGTGGGTGGCTCTGTGCCGTGCCAGGTGCAGGGTCTGCTAGCTGGGTGCTGGCAGGCTTGCACCTGGCACGGGCACCGTAGCCAGCCCGTGCCCCTTTAAGGGGTCCGGGGCCGGGAGGGGGGCATAGAGTTTCCCTGGTGTTGGCCAGAGTGGCCACCAGGGAAACCTGGGGAGGGCTAGCCTCCCACTAGTTCGAACTAAAGGGCTACACAGCCCTTAGTTCGAACTAGCTAGTTCGAACTAGGCGTTAGTCCTCGTAAAATGAGGTTTACCTAGTTCGAACTAAGCGCTCCGTTAGTTCGAATTAAGTTCGAACTAACGGAGCGCTAGTGTAGCGCCTAGGAAAGTTAGTTCGAACTAACGTCCGTTAGTTCGAACTAACTTTGTAATGTAGACATACCCTCAGTGTTTGGGATCCAGCCTGGGCCCAAATGTCTTCACTGCAATTTTATAGCCCCACAGTCCAAACCCAAGTCTGCTGACCCATGCTATCTGTAGGTGTTATGGCTGTGTAGATCTGCCCTCTAAATCCCTACATCATAAGAGGGGACAGTCACTTTTGGGTAGAACACGGCTACTCAACTTTGAAATCCTCAGAGCCACAATGATATTCACAGCACATGCTGAGGGCCACAACTTAAATGTGGTTGCATATCCATGCAAATATATATTCAAATATATGCAAATAGCTTCCTTCACACTGACGGGCATGAATACAAAGATTAAGGCAAGACTACACAACACGCAGGCCCCCTTTACGTCAGTTCTGCGGATATTAATAAAATGCAATATTTACCCAATTTCCACCCATATGACAGCACTTTTAATGAGCAATGACCGTCCAGGAATTTAACTACTAAAACACATATCGACAGAAGACCATTATATTGACTCGCTGTTGTGGAGTGGGTTCCTAGTGGAGGCCATGTTCAAAGGATCCCACCCGTAGGCCATGTGTGTTGAACCCCGTGTAAACCCAAACTGCACCATGGACTGCAAACAAATGGGCCATGTGCCACATGGTGGGTAGCCCTGGGTTAGACCATAAGATAGTGACCCAGACCTTCATTACCAAGATGACACTGAACTAAACTGAACTATTACAACCTGTGGCCCAAATGTCACTTGCAGCTTCCACTTCCTGTTACAGTAACTGCTCTGGGAGCACTGAACTCACTGCTTCAAGCCCATGTACAAGAGCACTTGGGAGCTGCAAACAGCTACAAGGGAGCAGCTGAGCCAGCCAGTTATTCTGTCTGGTCCCTAGTCTCCCAGTATGACCCTCCAACAATCTCCTGGTTCCTCCTTTGCCCAAACTTGACATCTAAGATGAAGAAGCTGAAAAGGGAGCTTCTGCAACAATCCAAGCTCAGCTTCCTTCAATCAGACCAGTTCAAAGCAGCTTGCTAGTACTAAACTGTAGGTTCCCCCTCTGAGACTCACAGGGAAGTGCTGGGCAGTTGCTCATGTGTTGCTCTCAGGCAAAGCTCTACCCTGCAGACCCTGTGTGAGATATCTCCTGTGACATATTTGGCAGCCTAGTCACAGCTTTCATTGTTTGTGCACGTGAGTTTGTGCCAAAGAGAGTCACTCAGAAACTGTCAATGATGGAGAATCTACCACAGTTCATGGTGAATGTTTCTCTTAAATATTTGTTCCCCATGTACATCGGCAGATATAGGGCAGGCGAGTGGGGCAGCTGCCCTGGGCCCCACGTTTCAATAGGCCCCGC